GGATCATACCCGACGCTTTGGGAGGGGGTGAGGTGGGGCGTTGAGGGGGGGTGTCCCGAGGAACAAGGCACCACCGCCCCCTCGGGATGCACATGCGTCAAGGGGGGATGCTATTTTTGAGCACGGCGAGAGGCTGAGAAATTCCCATCGAAGGATGTAGAACATTAGATTGCGGAAACGGGTAAAGTAGTGAGGTTCCACTTGCGGCGATACGAGGGGCGACGGATGAGGTGGGCCTAGGGTGAGATATATGGTGGCAAATCGACCGGCACCTAAGGGGTACAGTCTATAGACACTGACAGGAGAACGATTGACTTGATACTACTATATTTGGACAATAAGAGGAATTGACGGGCTAGAGGGTTTCTAGAGATAGTGGCGTTCCCCGTGGGCTCGGCGTCGTCGGGGCGGTCGTATCTTGCCGGGAGCCCCGAACTAATTGTCTCGTAGTTGCTGTGGTTAGCGTCGCTGTGTTTTTTTGTTTTTCGCGGTGCGAGTGGAGGCGTTATTGGTAACGTACCCAGGCATCACATGGACGAGGCCGAATTGAACGCGATCCGCCAGGCCCGGCTCCGCGAGCTCCAGCTGAACGCCGAGGGGCTGGCGCTGGCGCTGTCACTGGCCGGTGGCAGTGGTGCCGGCGACGCCAACGCGGTGTTGGCCCAGCTTCTCGAGCCCAGCGCCCGCGAACGGCTCCTGAGAGTACGGATGGTACGCCCCGAACGGGCGCAACAGGTGGAGCAGTATATCGTCCGCTTGGCGCAGATGGGCCAGCTCCAGCGCAAGTTGACGGAGAAGGACGTCGTCGACATCTTGGACGGCGTCGCCCGCGACTCCCAGCAGAAACTGGGGGGGCAGATTGTATATAGCCGCAAGCCCGCCACCAACGACGACGACGACGACGACGATGACTTTTTCGACTGAATCGAGATATATACCAATGCACGTAACCCTCAGTGTTTGGACACGGGGTGCAATTTTCCACCAGATGATACACGTCTTCTCTACTGTTTTACACCGATAGCATACACCCCATCAGAGCCACAAAATTTGCGATGGCAAATTACGAGACAAGGGGTGGTCCTGGTTGTGAGCCTGTGGCGTGATCGAAGATAGTGAAAGATCGGACACGAAAAAAAAAAAAAAAAAAAGAGATAGGGGACATTCCCGAGCTGACGTGGCTCGAGGAGGGTTTTCTCGTCGTCTGTTATTAATTTACGCTGGTAGATTGCAAGGTAAACGATGGCATTCGTGGGCTTTTCACGGTTTCAAAGTAATGTATTGCCCCGATGGAAGCTCGTAGTCAGTAGTGATCGAGATGTGACACAATCGTCGGTAAAGTATTAGTCGATTTCTCATTTTCGGGTGAGTGGTTATTCCTCGGTACAGCAACGGTATAGCATTTTTGGACAATGCGGCTAGTATCAAAAGAGTATGGTAGCTCTCAACTGAATACTAAGGCCAATGGCGTATTTGTAAAGAGAATTTTACGGGATGCGTCTTAGAGAGTTAGAATGTGTCTAGAGTGGGCATTGAGGTTGCGGTATCGAGACCAGCTGAAACGGGGATAAGAACGCGTAATACAATCGAAACGTTTGATAGCAAAACTTTAAACCTTTAGAAGTCTTCAAAAGTGGTAGCATTACTGCTGATATCAGGTGACTTCAAAAATTGGTGTCTTCTGCAAAGTATGTTAATTGTGGAGTTGTGACAAATTTGAATTTTTCCACAATTGCGGAATTATATAAATAAGATGTTGGACGTGAATAATGGTCTGTCAATTTTATGTGACACTGGGTTTGAGCTAACGCTATTCTTTTTGATATCAAATATGTTATTTGGCTCCCTTCGGCTCCCCAGAAACGCGGTGTCTGTAATATGCATTGTATGCATCGCATTTTAAAATTCGCTCAACTTACGTGGATCGGAATTATCCAAGAACTAATGGCAGTTATATACGACTAGCTATATACTTTGGCGGCTATAAACTCAATGACAAGTTTAAGGGATACACAATTGAAATTACAGCGTGTTACAATGTCGGTGAATGCCCGAAAGCTAGGCCATCATGGCGACACCTATTCTTGAAGTCTTCGCTGCGGGCCTTGCCGAGTCCCGGTTAATGTTTACTAAACAGAATTCGTTGACGCATAAGAATACATTGATTTTGCCGGTCGATGCAATCAATAAGCCTCCAAGTTAAAGGTTGCGTACCCATTGGAACGCCAGCAAATCAACTATACTTACATTACAGCAAAAATTTCGTTTGTATAGAACTATCATCTTTGACAATGATATGGCACGCGACGGTACCGCATCACGGTGTCGATACTCGTGATGACGCCTGACTATATATGCGCCAAGACCAAAACATTTTACCGCGACGCGCAGAAATTTCCACGAGCTGATTGAAATCATCTAAAACTGTTAACATATCATGCTAGGGCAGTGTTATCCATTGTTGAAAAATGACATGGACAACACCACTTTTACTCAAAAGGTGGGAATTTAATTGTTTCTGGATTAAGCCTCTCTCGTATATTTGCATTCGCGCGCGTTGAATTCTGCATCGCGGTGCCAGGCTATATGCGCGGCTCCACGCATCGTAGTCAAAGTCGAAATGGACTTGAGTATAAAGCCGAAGCTGAGCCCGCTATAAACGTTGGTCAACTTCAAAAGCAAAACCCTTACATTCGTTTTTATTACCAGACAGACTTTCCTTTTTCGTCTGGTTGCAAGCAAAACCTTTACATTCGTTTATATACCATGAAGTTCCTCTCGTTGCTTCTGGTCGCCCTGGCGGTCGCTGCCCAAGTGGCGGTGTACTGGGGGCAAAACTCGTACGGTGGCGAACAGCTGTTGGCGTCTTACTGTGATGCGCTGGAAATCGATGTGGTGCTCTTGGGGTTCTTAAATGGCTACCCTAACTTGAACCTCAATTTCGGTAATCAATGCAACGGCCGTTTCGAGCTGGGGTTGTTGGACTGCCCCGAAATTGCTGCTGACATCAAGTACTGCCAAAGCCAAGGCAAGAAGGTGTTGTTATCGCTTGGTGGCGCCAAGGGCGAGTACGGGTTCTCGTCGGCTGCCGAAGGTGAGCAATTCGCCCTGACTCTCTGGAACAAGTTTGCCGGCGGTAACGACGCCGAAAGACCGTTTGGCGATGCCCAAGTGGACGGGTTTGACCTCGACATGGAAAACAAGCACCAAACCGGCTACGTCGCCATGGCTAAGAAATTGCGTCAATTGTACGACTCGCTGTCGCGCCAGTACTACCTCTCGGCGGCCCCTCAATGTGTCTACCCTGACGCCAGTGTTGGCGACGTGATGCTGAACGTGCCTTTGGACTTTGCCTTTGTTCAATTTTACAACAACTACTGCTCGGTCGATGGCCAATTCAACTGGGACACCTGGGCCCAGTGGGCGGCGGCGCTGCCCAACCCCAACGTCAAGCTCTACTTGGGGTTGCCCGGTGCTTCCACCAGTGCTGGTTCGGGGTACATTTCGCCCCAGCAAGTGTGTGCCACCGTCGACGAAATCAAGGACTCGGCCAACTTTGGCGGGGTGATGTTCTGGGACGCTAGCTCCAGTTTTGCCAACAAGGACATGATTTCTACTGTGGGTCAATGCTTGAAGGGTGAGGAACCCGAGCCCGTGCCTTCGTCGTCGCTGGTGGTTGCGCAACCTAAGCCGACTCTGTCTTTGGATTTGGGCTTCTCCGGTAACGGCGACAAGCCCGGTCTCGAAGGCGGCGCCTGGAACGGTACCGTCGTTGTCACTAACCTCCACACTGCCACTGCCACTGTCGACTGCCCCACCTGCACCAAGGGTGAGGGTGCCGTTGCCACTTCCACCAAGACTAACGTTCACCACGCCACTGCCACCGTTGACTGTCCCACTTGCACTCAAGAAGCTGCCCACGATGCTGAGGTTGACTTGGGTAACGGCAAGGCGGTGATTGTTGACGGCGATGACGCCACCACCACCATCTACCACACGGTGTACGCTTCTGATGCTTCGTCGCTGGGTTATGACAACTCCGGCGACGCCGTCACCACCACTGTGTCCCAAGCCGCCGAAGATGCTGAGCTGACGGCTTCGTACGAGATCCAGGTGAGAGTCACGGTTGACTTCTGCAACCCGGACCCGGAAGCGGCCTTCTCCACCGTCACCGCCTACGTCGCTTACGAGTAAACTAGATGACGATTCACTTCATACCCGCGAGATATTATGATTTTTGCCTCATTGCAAAATCGAGCCCCCTCGCACCAGATACCAATACATATTTACTAGATTGTGATCGTGTAGAAACGATGGTGTTGATCTATGCGGACCATGCCACCATATTGTTATCGTCATGTCATGCTAAGGTAAATTGGTGAGTCTAACATTGAAAGTCAAAGTCGTTGTCACTTAAGCTTAAGCTGATTGCCATAACAAGACGGTACACTCCAAAGCGCAGTAAGGTGCATTTTTAGCACATCGTATGAACGGATTGCCTAGATAACATTGTAGAATCCTTCCACCAATGTAGTACTTCCTTGAGCAATAAATTCCCCTTCATGTTTAACTAACATCAAGATTTAATCGGCATCTGAGAAGACTATCTATCTTTTGTCGGTGATGGCTTTGTTTACATTATCGTATTTGCTCCTCATCAGCTGGTGCCCCGCGCCGCGGCGCTACCATATTTTCGGCGATCGGCGCGCTGTTTACATTTTGGCATCGCCAGGTAAACAACCACCATGTCCCATGTCCAGGTGGTGGTCCGATGTCGTGATCGGATTCCGCGAGAGGTCCAGGCGCACCAGCCCCGGGTGGTCGACACCGGGAGCGACACCTACGACCGGCGCGAGCCCCACGTCACCGTGGCCGTGCCCAACACCGACCCCAAGACCTACGCGCTCGACGGCGTCTTTGGCGGTAACGCCTCCCAGCAGCTTGTCTACGACACCGTGGTGCGCCCGCTCGTGTCCCAGTTCTTGCTGGGGACGCTGGTGACCGTATTCACCTACGGACAGACGGGCACGGGCAAAACCTACACCATGGTGGGCGAACACAATCTGGCACGAGTGAGCGATGACGTTACCGAAGACTTACCCCGTGGCGCCGGCATCATCCCCCGAGTGCACCAGCAGATCTTTCAGGAGATGAGCGCCGACCACACTTTGGAGTGTCTGTTTATCGAGCTCTATAACGAGCAGTTGGGCGACTTGCTCGCGCCCGACGCGCAGCTTCGCCTCCTTGAGGAGAACAAACGAGTCACCGTCAAGGGGCTGAAACCGTGTTACATCACGCTGTACCGTCACGCCACCCAGGTGTTGAACAAAGGGCTCGACAACCGCAAGACCGCCGCCACCAAGCTCAACGACAAGCTGCTGCGGCTGCACATGATCTACACCCTCGAGCTCTGTCGCCAGGTTGACGAAAACCAGTTCGTGCGGTGCAAGCTTAATCTCTGCGATCTTGCGGGGCTGGAAAACGTCCAGCGCCTGGGCGCCACCCAGTCACGGGCGCGCGAGGCCGGCACCATCAACAAGCTGTTGCACGCGCTCGGGCGGGTGATCTCGGCGTTGGCGCTGGACTCACGGGCGCCGAAGACCATGGGGCACATCCCCTACCGTGACTCTAAGCTCACGCGGATCCTCCAGGACTCGCTTGGCGGCGCCACCCGCACGGCGTTGATCGCTACTGTGTCGCCCGTACGGGTGGACGCCGACGAGACGTTGCTGACGCTCGAGTACGCCGCTAAGGCCAAACACATCAAAAACACCGCCGAGGTCGGTACCAGCGACGCCGTGCTTAAACGGGTGGTGGTGCACGAGCTCCAGCAACAATATGCTCAGCTCATGGCCGAATTCGCTACCACCAAGGCGAAACAAGGGGTATTTTTAGCACCAGAACGCTACAACGAAATGGTGGCACAAGCCGACACCGATAAGACCACCATCAGCGAGCTTCAGCGCCGCGTAGCATACCTCGAAAAACAGCAACAGGAGTACGACGAGTTTCGCCGCTACCACCGGGCGCAGACGAAGCAATGGGACGCCGAGCGCCAGCAGTTGAAACAAGAACTTGACGACGCCCACGACCGCATCGAGCACAAGAACACCGAGTTGGCGCTGGTGACCAACCAGTGGCACCAGGAGCGCCAGGCGGTGGCCGAGCTCGGCACCTGTTTCCACAGCTACGCCAGCGAGGCGACGCAGATGACCCAGCGGGCATTGGCGGCGCTCTCGGGCGACTACGTGCCTAAGGTGACAGCAGAGTTCCAGCAATTACAAAGTCAGTACCAACAGTTGGCTAAGCATACAGAGACGTTGGCGCTGGGAGGCAGCGACGCGGTGGCGGCGCTTCATACCATGGCGAAAGTGGTGACGGCCCACCGCAATAATGCCCGCACGCTCACCCAGGCGGTGGTGGCGGCGACGTCGGAGGCGCCGCTGTCGCCGAAACCGGTGGCGATTGCGCCCCACATGGTCCAGATGCAACAACGGGCGACTAAGCTTTTCAGTCAGTGGTGGGAGCTGCTGATGGCGCCGATGGTGCGCCAACAAATGGAAAAATGTGTCAGCGATACTGGCGACGGCTGGCGGGCGGCGACCACTGCCTACCACCACCAGGTACGCCAAGCGGCGGCGCAGGCGTCGTCGCAGTTCGCTACTGAGATGACGGCACTTCTGGCGCAACAGGCGCTGGCAGAGCAATCGGTGCTGAAATGGCAACAGCTTAGCCGCACGCTGGCCGCTGATGGCGAGCGCCGCCCGCAGGTGGCGGTGCCGCTGGCCGACCCCGTGGTGGACGAGTTGAATCTGGTGATGGCGTTTTTACGGGAGCTGGCGCCGGCGCCGCCTCCGCTGCTGGCGCGGCTGCTGGCCCGTCTGCTGCAGACGCTGACGCCGGTGCACCCGCTGAGGCTACGGTCTCCTAATCGCTCGTTGGGGTGGAGAGCGCTGCCGCAAAAGGTACTGCCGCTGAAAGCACTGCCGCTGCGACGCCGGCTGAGTGGGGTAGCGCCGGCGACGACGCCATTGGCGCCATTGACACCGTCGGCACTGACTAACGGCGACGCCCGGCAGCTTAAGCGGACGCAATTGCCGCGTATCCCGTCGCTCATTCCCGACGTCAACACTAAGCGCCGGCGCACCAATCCTGGCGGCCAATCTGGGTGAACTTTCACTACTGTAACGTTGTATTATTTTTCCAAGGCCATTGCGGTGGCGTCCACTAATATCTCATGACTTATAATATATGCTAAGAAAATCCATGCCGCGAGCGTCATTGTTAGCAGCACTCATTAATGGAAAAAACAAAGGAGAGGAAAATAATCTGCTGGCCTGCCGCCATTGTTTTCACCTTTGTCATACAAGCTTTTACAAGCTTTGTTTAAATTTAGATTACGTGATGGCAATCTGACTCTGGTGGCTCAAATAGGGTGCCAGGTTTGGCTGTAGTAGTGACTGGTGTTTTCGGGAATTTCCGGGTACTGGAAGGGGGCTACCGCTGGCGCAATCAGTCTAAGCTACAACTGGATGAATGGATTGCCACTTAGCAGCAATGTTTATGCGCTCAATGATGCCGTTTTTTTTTGTCTGTTTACTAATGGGAGCCTTGACGCACGTGACCTTACTCGGAGTTAGTGGTGGAATTTGCGCCGGTATATATAGTCTGGCACTATCCCTAATTAGGCCGGTTGGTGCAAGGCTAATGCCAGGGCATATTTTTCTTGGGTCCGAGGGCTATGCCGAACGTATGCACATCGTATGCAATGCATTGCTATCAGACACGTCATTTCTAGTGTCTGGGATCGCCCGCTTAATGTGGTGTGACGCATATATGTTGCCGGCCACATATGCCACCCACCACCTTTTGTTTTGGGTGGAGGATCAGACGCCCACCTCGTACCCAACGAATCGCCACCGAATTCACAGGACGGAAAAAAAGAAAAAATCCAACCAGAAAATAAAAAGCAAGGTAGCTATTCAACGGGGCCGCCCTTATTATGTCCTCTTATTGTCGTCGCCCCATATTTTTCTGTATATCCGAAGGTTTCAAACCGAGGTTTGCTCTGCGAGGGGGTCATGCCCCCCGGCCGTTCCAGGCGCAATAGTTACTACGTTGCGCGTCATTGCCTATTATGGCCGATTTCCGATGACGTGTTACCTCGAATTGGCTGACCGGTGAGACACTCATCTTTCGGCCTCGTATTGGCCCCGGGGACACCCCCGTACTCCTAAACGGCGATTAGCTCAGCCGACGTGCGTTATAGGGTTCGTGAGTGAGGCAACAGCCTCCATGTGAGGCAGGCGGTTATTATTACGGTTCGCGGGTGTCGAGAGCGTCACTAAACGAACACCGGTGCCGCAGCCGGTAACCCGATAACTTGCTTCCGAAAGTAATCCAGAAGTGTACCCAGGGGGTAAATAATATTTGGCAGTGATCGTCGTGGTTAAAGTCGGGGGAATTAGAGTAACTTTAGGCGGTCCCCTGGTGTTTGCCATTTATAATTCTCAAGATCATATAGCCAAAGTAGATGTCTACATTAATGCCATTTCGAGGATTTTTAATTTCACCCACAAGAAAATAAGATTGTTGTAGCTGCCACTAAATTTTAAGCTTCGGATCACTGACAATTCCAGAACCAGAAGAGTGTCACATGCAGTCAGAAACAAACTACAATCATGTAGATGATGACATCAGTTCTATGATATGCTTGATTAAGGCCAGTAGTCGATTGGGAAGGAGTCACTGAGGGTATATCTATGTACAAAGTAATTTACTCCCGCCAGTAGTCGTACCGGTTATGTTCATCAATGACGGTGCTGTCGTCGTAGGGGATGCCTGACCACTCAGCAATGGCGGCGGCGTCGTGAGCTTGCGACGGCGAGGGGATAAGCTGAGCCGTAAGCGGCGTCTTGGCGGCGTACCGGCGGAGCGCCAGCGTGCTCTTCTTCATGTTTTCTTTCCGTAGAACGTTCCCGTTTTTGTCTCGTCCCGTCAACAGCTTAGCGATGTAGCCGGTGATCGGCTGTCGCGCCACCGCGTCGAGGTGTGGAGGGAGGTAGACGGCAATGGCATCATTCAGTTCTTTCCTCCCCGTGGGAGTGATGGAGAGGTGTCCGAGTCCCCGGAGGACCACGTCCACGGGACCGTAAAAGGGAGGAATAATATACCGGGTCAAGTTCTCGCTGCCCACGCCAAAGAACTTCAGCTCCATGCCGTCGTAGGCCAGCGGCGCCGCCCTCACCGCATCAAACTTAGCGTAATCTCTAAACTTAGTGGGTTCAATCGCAGTAACGTTGCGGACCTGGAAAATCCCCCCGGGGAACTCGACGCCGAAGAGGCCACCAAACAGAAGCACCTGGCCCCGCTTGGTCACCGACTCGTAGTGGGCCCAGTGGTCGCCCTTATCAAACACTTTGGCGCCTTTGCTCACGTGTTTAAACTGGTGACGGCCCTCCGCCAGTTGTTGAGCGTTAAGCAAGCCAAATACTCCGTGGCCGGAAGCGACGTCAAACCCAGGGACATCGTAGATCGTCTTGGTAGCGCTGATATCGGTGGCAATCACCCCACGAGTATACCCAGGCATGTACAGAGTCCCCGGACCCACCACCAGGGCCATCTTTTCGTGGAGTCGTTTTTTCATCAGTGCTTTCGTCGTGTGGATACCTTTATCCTGGAGTTTTTCAAGCTGGCGTCGTTGCAGCAGTGTCAACGGTACGTCGCCTTCGTGGCGTAAATGTTGAAGCTGGAGCTGGCCCACGAGCGTCAGCTTGCCCAGGTTGACGTGGCCGACGACGTGAGCGTCTTGAGGGAGCCACGATGCTAATTTGGCGACGTTCCACCCGAGTTTAGCCAGCACCACGGCGACGTTATGACGCGGAATACCGTGTTTATGAGCGAAATAGTCCTCAAAGAAGGTAGCCCCATACTTGGACGCCTTCTGGTTGGTGGAGAACCAGAGATCGGCCTTATTCACCACCACTCGAACGTCGATAGGCGACCGGTGGCGGAAAATCCCGCCATCAAATCCCAAGGGGAAATCAAGAGCACTGACGACAACCACCACCGGAGCGGTAGGGTCGACGTAGTCCATCATTTCGTGGAATCCGAGCGGAGGAAGCGGCTGGACCATTTGCAGTCGATACTGGACATCACGGCACCGGGTGCACTCCGGAGCCGTTGTCAGCTCCAGGTCGTGACTGTGGGCTTTGGCAGAAGTTGCTGCCAGTGGTCCGAGCCCTAATAGAGCGCGATCGGCGTCGCTAAGCTTCAGTTCGAGCTCATCGTACTTTTGGGTCTTTGCAAGGGGCTGCTTGGCGACGCCGGCAACAAAGTAGCCGGGACGGGTCTTATCGACCGTCTGGAGCTTAACGCCACACAGCCGACACTGAGGAAAGAGCCGGGTGAGGAGCAGCAGTCGGATCATCGCGATGGCGTGGGGAGGCCGTCGTCACTGCCGATGAGCGCGTGCGGCTCACGAAAAACAACCGTGCACCAAACAACCGTGCACCAAACACCAAGCACACTAACAATAGACCCACAACTCAGTGGTTTTGATCAGTTGCTCAATTCGGTAGAAATGTAACTCATTGAAATACGTCATTAAACACAGTTTCAAATCACTCGGATATTTGGCTGGCCACTACTGAATAAACAATAATAGGGGTGGAGGGGGAGGTCGCAATAGTGCTGCGCTCGGGGAAAAACAAGCGACAACCTTCACAAGCACACACCACAAACCAAGGCCCGAAAGGGCCACAAAATGTGAGAATTTTTCCGAAGCGGTGGGGGATTTGTCGGACTTAACTTGGGAATTTCATCGTCATGTCGCCGTGACCGATTTTGCGTACCTAATGCTTGTCGGCAGAGCACGCCGCACCCCTAGGGGTATTGAGGGCAGCCCCAGCGGCCCCAGGGGAGGTGGCTGGCAACCGGAGCTAGTGGGGTGAGGGTAGGATGGGCTTAGTGGCGGTGCTATTCCATGGTATTCATCACGTGATTGCTAATTTGTTGTTGTTGTTGGTTTGTGTGGGTGGGTGTTTCGGAAACGCGGTGGCGGCTAATGGTGGGTTTTGTGAGTGTGCGTGCGGCCGGGTATCACCCCCCCCCACCTCGCTGGCTGTCGATGCCTGTCCATTCGTGGACAGGGCTGATATAATCTTGCGTGGTGCATGATCACCCTGTCTGCGACGATTATTATCGGCGCTAGCCGTCAACGCGCTCCGTATTTGTCGCAATTATAATCTGCCGGGGCGGCGGCGTGCGTGGCACCGGCTCGACGAACCTTGACTGCCTGGGGTACTTCGCCGGCTACGTGGCCGGTTGGGCTGGTTTTGTACCGGGGTCAGCAACCACACGCTTACAGAGTTGATACAGCGTAATGTTTTATTCATGGGGTGAGGCGTGGTTTCACCCTGCCCCTCAACTGATGCTACATCATATCAAACAAGTGCGGCGTCACCAATTTTTTTTTTTCTGGCCTGCCGCTGCCGTTGCAAGCAACCGTGACGATCATTGTTTGCCGGGGGGTTTGGCCCGTGGCCCTGGCGTTACCATGGGTTCGATGGGTGGTTCTGCCCCGGGCGCCGAACCAGGAACAATTGCCTGGTCGGCAGCGGCGTCTCCAGCGGGTGCATACGCATGACGCACGCTGCCGCCCATCGCTGCCGCCACCAGCGTCGACCCGCAGCGCACCCCAGACAAAATAATAATACTATGCGGTACTATTGGCAGGCCATATACACTCCCACAAAAATACCCATCGATAAAAACCACCGACGAAACCGCGCATCCAACATTTTGTCACCTCCCGCAACGTCTCCCCCCCGCAG